CGGACAGTTATTAATCAAAAAATCACCAGAAACTCCATGTAAATAGTAAAAAGGAGATGTATGTAGAGTTAAAAGAGGACTTAAAACAAKTTTAACTTAATCTGAGAGGTGAGAGAAGGATGGAGGAAGGGATGAAGCCAAAACCTATAGTCACCCTGCTGTTCACGTACAGAGGAAGAGGAAGAGGTCAAGGTCACTCCTTTGTGGGCAGCTTGTTCTAGAGATTCAGAGCAGAGCTCATACCGGCTATGTTTGCTCCAAGAATTCTTTCTGGAGTCGATGCAGAGATGGGCACAAAAACCAAGAGAAATAACAGCAGCAGCAACAACGACAAATCAATGTTAAGAAACAAAGACTTCCTGCAGTTAGGTAAATGTGGAGATTTTTCCAAAATGGTGAGAATATTCCTAATCGGAAAATTTTTGTGCAATAGGCTCACACACAGAGACTAAGTTTATTTGGTGTAGATAGAATTTTCCTGGCATACAATAAAGAAATGACCTGCAACCATCGACATTGGATTTTGGAGACTTCTGTGATGAGAGGGAGACGTCTCATAGGAGGGCTTTCCCAAAGTTTATGGGAAATATTCCTCACAGCCCAATATTATCAGGCGACCATCCTTTTAGTAATTCCTCCCCCGTGCTCTTGCCTCCTGCTGTTTAATCATTGATTGATGTCTCTGTGTTTTCTAAACCTTTGACAGAGAATCTAAGCTCTGTATTTAGCCATTCGCTGTGCCATTACAAGTTTAATGTTACTAAGAACAATATTTTTCCTTAAAAACAGAATCTTGGTGCCATGGCTGTTCTGAAGATGAGTCAAGAATATTGAATTTGAGGAAATCAGCCCAAATATTTAAGCATTATGTCTGTGCTAAGGATATTGGTGTTGTATTTACGTGGCTATTAATTACTACTGAAATCAGCTTCTAACTGATCACCTACTCTTATTTTTTTTCATATTTTTATTGGTGCATTATAGTTGTGCATAATGGTGGGATTTGTTGTTACATATTTGTACATGCACACAATATAACAATAGAATTTGATCAATATCACTGCGTCTTTTCCTTCCCTCCTCCCTTCACCTGGTCCCATTCCTCTGTGGCTCTTACTTTGATTTTCATGTCACCTCCCCCTAGTAAAAGTTCTGGGGTAGTAAACAGATCAAGATGATCAGTAGGAATAATCATTAATTTTGCAACTGATGTTAAATGAAAGTAAGTGTGGAAAATAAACACTTAGCACAGGTCTTTGAGATCATTTAGAAATATATTTTAAATGAACTAATTAAATATGAACCTTATCTAAGGATAATCACTTAAAAACAGGCAGTAACCTTTTATGTGAGTTCAGTGATCTGAATTCTTAATATGCAAAATTAAATGCCATATTCAATTTCATTTTTTACACAAACATGAATATTGACATTATCCATAAAATCAGATAGAGCTGACATTCATACAGTGCTTCGAGGCTTGTACGACATGGCAGAATTTCAGTTTCCATTAAATAAACAACAAATGACTTTAAAAATTAAACACAAAGCTGAATTTTTCATAGAGCGGATTCACCAAGCGCCTGAACTATTTCTGCCTAACATGTAGAGAAAGTGACCCCTAGTGGAATTCTGATGAAGCATTTCTCCATTGTTTTTTATTTGGTCAATCCAAGTACGGATGCTTATTATCTGCTGTATGCCCAGCATTGTGCTGGGCTCTGGGACAGAGACATGACAGAAAAATGAAGTTCAGGATGGTTGATAAGTAGGCATCAGTAAAATCTGATCAGTGCTGCAGGAGAGATCGAGTGGAAGTGGTCAATCTACTAGTGGGCTGATGGAGAAATGATTGGGGTGGCTGGCAGAGGAAGGTGGCAAGGAAGAAAAGCCATTCACATAGAGAGGCTAGAGCAGCACAGTGATTTCTGGAATTGCCAGTGATTTCATTGGGTAAGGAATGCCTAGGTGGACAGTGCTCCCCAGATATGCTTTCTGCATATTAAAGGAGTTGACAGACACTGTACATAACTGCATTCAGATTGCTCCTGTTAACTAGTCTTACATAGGTATGGGAGACTGTTTCAAAATGGACTTCTTTGACTATTTGAAGGCCTCCAAAATTTTGAGTAAAATAGACTAGAAGACTTATTTCAAGTCAGGGAGYAAAGTTAGAATTGGGAAGTAAGTCAAACATAAGCCTAACAGGTATATTACTGATCTCATTTACAGATGAGGAAACTGAAGCTTATGGAGCTGAAGTGAGTTTCCCAATTCAACTGGCAAACTTTGTGGCTGATTGATACTACTTGGATTCCGAGATCCAGGAGCCCAGGGTTTTGGGAGTCATCAGAAAATATAGTGGGTAGTTAAAGTCACAGAAGTAAATGAATTTATCAAGAGAGGTCATGAGAGAGAATAAGAGAGAGGACAGGAGAAAAAGGAAGGGGGAGAGGAGGAGAGCAGAGCAAAGCAGGGGAGGGGGGATGAGAGAAGAGAAGCAGGGCAGAGGTAGAAGCCCAGAACATGGCGAACATGGCAACCTCTGAGGTAAATAGCAGAGGAGGAAGAGGTGAAGGAGGCAGTAAGATCAAAGTGGTGGAACTATAACCAAGGGAGAGCTGTATTCTGGAAGGGGAAGAGAAAGGGGGTGGCGATTTGAGATTWTTCAGAAGAAACTATTCAACAATGTCAGCAGCTGAGAGAACCGAGTGAGGCGGTGCCTTAATATTGACCCTTAGGTTAGGATTGACCCTTGGGAGGCCATTGATTGTCTGAAACTGGAGTAGAGAGAATGACAAACCTTTTATGGAAGGAGCTGAGGAATAAAGAGGAAAGAAGAAGGGCGAGTCAGTAAAATCTGCTTTCTGAAGAGCCCAGCTGGGAAGACAAGGAAGTTAGATGAAGATCTATGTTTAAGGAAGGGATTTTCCTCCTAAATATTGAAAAAGTTATAATCAGGTGTGTACGTTGTGGAGAAGCAGATGATATAGAAAGTAAGTGGTGGATGGTGAAGCGTAAAGGATAATTGGCTGAGCAAAGGAGAGAAAAGGGATCCAGAGTGCAGGAGAAAATCCTTGGGTTGGCAGAGAGGGAGTGTGGATGCATGGGATGTTGATCTGTTTATAAGCAAAGGAGGGGATGAAGRGGCCATCTGATGCCTGCTTTTTCCCCTGTGATGCTGAAAGCAGGCTCAGGGGCCAGTCGAGTGGGAGGATAGAAAGGCAAGGAGGCTGGAGGCTGGCCTTCCAACAGCCACTGTGCAGAAAGGGGCCGGCATGACCTGAGCCATAAAGGGCTGCTGAGCAGCAGAGAGGCCAAGTTGGGGTCTCTAGATGCCAGGTGGCACAGAGTCAGCACAATGCTACAGGGGACTCTAATAGTGCTTGGGTACAGCGAAAGTACATCATTGGGCTGGCACTTTGCAGTTTCAAATAAGGCAGAAAAGAAACTGAGGAGGCTGCTCTCTTAAAAAAAAAAAAGAAGTGAAGCTTAGTGGAGGTGGGCAGGGGACGAGTGTCATGAGAGACTGAGGGAAAAGGAAGAAATGGAAGGACTGAGGTCATAGTGTTTGGGGCCAATTCTGATGGAAGTCAGAGAGTGACAGCCTGATTCAAAGGAAAGCACTCACCACCTAATGAGAACATCTTCAGTGCCAGGCATCCTGCTAAGCACATCATCCATATTATTTTATTTAACCCTTACAACAAATCTATAAAGTCAACACTATTCTCCTTACTTTACAGACAGAGAAACTGAGGCTCAAATGCAATAGCTAACTTACCTGGTGTCCTACTTTGGTTGATTTGCCCCTAAGTCTGTGCACTGGGTCCCAGTGCAAAGGTTGAGAGGCAGAACTGTAGGGTGATGAGAAAGATGAGGATGGCCATAAAGGAAATTGTTCGTCTAGACTGGATGTTGAGGTCAATGAAATGGACAGTGAKCTTTGAAGACGGCTGGCACATTAACAATGGATGACCACACCATGGTGACTGGGAGGGAGATAAGTATACTAGCTGAAGGGAGTAAATTGAAAGTACAGAGGAGAAGTGGAAAGGATGAAATAACCAGATTGTATGAGCCCTAAAGTGGTGACATTTTCTTATGGGGCTGAGCATGGCTGGCTTTATGTAACTTGAGGGACCCAAAGTTAGAAGAAAATGTAGGAGCTGGAATATAGTGCTATTCAATGTAGTAAAGTAAAAAAAGTTGTCTTTCTCCTACAATCTCTCTTCTCACTTGTCTCTATCGCTATTTCATGTTGGGTTCGCTTGGACACGGGGATCCTTACAGAGGTAGCTCAGATGCTGACAGATGCCCAGCAGGGGCTCTGTCCCATGCCTCAGGGCATAGCCCACAGACTTCTGAGCTCTGCCTACCCTTATGCACTACACCCCATTTGGAAGCTGAGAAATCAGTCTCTCCTTCCCACAGCCTATCATCCCAATCATCCCAACTGTTATGGTTTGGATGTGAAGTGTCTCCCAAAAGCTCATGTGTGAGATAATGCAAGAAGGTTCAGAGGAGAAATGATTGGGGGTTATAGCCTTAACCTAATCAGTGAATTAATCCCCTGTCAGAATTAACTGAGTGGTAACTGAAGGCCATGAGGATGTGGCTGAAGGAGGTGGGCATTGAGGGTATGCCTTCTGGGTATATATTTTGTATCTGGTGAGTGGAGTGTCTCTCTCTGCTTCCTAATCATGTGATCTGTTTCCCTCCACACATTTCCCCCATGATATTCTGCCTCATCCTGAGCCCTGAGGAATGGAGCCTGCTGTCTATGGATTGAGACCTCTGCAACTGTGAGCCCCCAAATTAACTTTTCTGCCTTCTGTAATTATTCTCGTCAGGTCTTTTAGTCACAGCAGTGAAAAAGCTTACTATTAACACCAACTCACTGCAAAAAAGCAAAAAGCAAGAATGGGTAACCTCTATCCAGGATGCACATTGGACTGGGATCAGGATGGCAAGTGGCTCACTCCTGCCAAGTCACCTACCAAACGCATCATGGCACTATCAACGTGGAGGGGAGATGGTACTGCCATGTGTTACCCAAAGATGCCACAGGAGCTGCTCACCCAACTTCTCCCTATTTGTGTCTGCATTCACACCCAAATCCCCTGTCTGGCCAGGGCAGAGGGCAATGGTGGAACACACGTGGGCTTACTCCACTCCTGGGAGTGGACCAGAAGGGGAAGGTTAGTGGGACCAGAGGTGTAGAGTGTGGGGAACAGGATGCCAGAAACCTGTCCTAGGAAGGTAGGGAAGTTGTAAGATGGACTCCATGCAAGCTGAGACTCTGAATCTCTAGTCCATGCTCCATTGTTTCACCAGAGTTCCCTTAAAAAACACAAATGAGAACATTCAATCATTGTATTACCTTGCAGCAAAGCACCATATACTGCCCCTCTGTCTTTGCACAGTCTTTTCTCTGTGCAGTCTGTTTTCATCTCTTAAGGACACCAGTCAGTGAATTAGAACTCACCACAAAGACCTTGTTGAACCTAATTATCTCTTTAAAGATACTATGTTCAAATACAGTCACAGTATTCTTAATTAGTGAAAGGTGTGGACTTCAACATATGAATTTTGGGGGATATGTAATTCAGCCCACAAGAATTGTTGAGAATTTCGAGATGGCAACCGCAAAGTATTAAACCCCAAGAATTTCAGGAGTCTGTGAGACTGCACTAGTGAAGCCAGCCCTGGGCTAGGAGACCAGTGGTAAAGAATCAATAGCATGGAGCTAGGGGGATCTGACCCTTCCTGTCAAACCTGTAAGTGTCAAGCTTATGGAAGAATGTGCACCTTTCAGCAGAGTTGTAAAGCGTCTTTTGGGTGAGAGCTAGGTTTTCCTAAGATAATGAAAAGGGTGAAATGTCATTGAGCAGGCTGAAAATGAATGGTTTCTTTGCAAACAAATGAACAATCCGCTGAACAGAGTAGAAATGTCTGGGAAGGAGGTCAGAAACAAGCAAATAAACCCTGGAGGAAAGAGAAGGGTGTGATGATCAGAATAGGAGAACCTGACCAGAGAATTTTGCATTTCATTACTTTTAATTACACTGGCTTTATATTCCTTGAATTTAGAAATTAAATTAGAAATTTAATTGAATTTAAATTAAATGTTAGCATCCCTGATCCAACTGCAGCTGTACTTCACACACAAGCATGGTTTTTGTTGTGGTTTGGATGTGAGGTATCCCCCAAAAGCTCATCTGTCAGACAATGCAAGAAGGTTCAGAGGAGAAATGATCAGGCTGAGAGCCTTTATCCAATCACTGAATTAATCCCCTGATAGAATTAACTGGGTGGGAACTAAAGGCCAGTAGGGTGTGGCTAGAGAAGGTGGGCATTGGGGATGTGCCTTTATGGTATATACTTTGTATCTGACAAATGGAGTCTTTCTCTCTGCTTACTGATCATCATGTGATCTGCTTTCCTCCACCACACTCTTCTGCCATGATGTTCTGCCTCACCTCAACCCCAGAGGAATGGAGCCTGCTGTCTATGGACTGAGTCCTCTGAAACTTAAGTCGCTAAATAAACTTTTCCTTCTCTACAATTGTTCTGATCAGGTCTTTTAGTCACAGCGGTGGAAAAAAAAAAAATTGACCAATACAGTGTTGCTGATTGACAAGGGGAAAGACATTTCAGGATGATCCTCCCATGTTTTCCCCCGTTCTCCATTCCAATCATAGTGGCATTTGAACAGGGTGAACTATGAAGAGGTACAGTCTGTGGCTTTAGCACACAGCTTACTCTCCCACACTGGAAACAAAATCATAATTATCATCACATTGCTGTAGTACCCTAACAAATTAAGCTATTCCTTGAATACTTGCTTAGGGGTCGTTATCCTCAATATCTTACAATAATCTCTCCCAGAGAACAAGAAAAAAGCCTTGTCTGCATTTTTATGGATAGAAATACAGGCAATTAATAAGTTTAAAGAGCTACAGCAGTGGAATATCACTACAGGAAATTAATAATATGTTCAGTAGAGAGATAAAAGCAGCTTTCTTACATAAGAAAGCTACATAATGAAAATACTGATATATTGTTCGTATGTGGTTTTTATTATCTACCCAAATCCCATCAAATAAGATTCTTGTAGTAACAGTCATTTTTAAATTAAAGTAATACATTCTCATTGTGTAAAATTTGGAAAAATATAGGTAAGCCAAAAAGAAAGGGGACATCATTTTAATTCTAACATATGCTTTCTTTGAGATACATTTATTTTATTCTCATCTTTATTATGCATCCATGCATTTTATTTTTGCAAAAAATGGATGCTATTTTCCTCAATGTCAAGTAACCTGCTTTTTACCACTTAGCAATCTAGGGTGAACAATCTTGCAGAACATTATATTAATAACTATATTTAGTTATATTTAATACATTTTCTATTGTTAGACATTTTTAGGTTCTTTTCAACTATTTACTATTGTAAAATTGCAGTAATAAACATTATTTTAACTATTGATTTTTAACCTTTTATGCTTATTTCCATAGGATAAATTCATAGATGTATCAATAATCTGTCAAAGTATTACGTGTTTTAAGCCACTTGAAAAAAAATGTTAAAAACTAGTTTACCTGAATAATTATTAGGTATTTCCACCTAGAAAAGTATAATGGAAAGAAGACCAGAGTTGAATTCCTGTCTATTTTACTGACAAGCTATAAATGTTGATTGGTCACTCAATCCCTTTAGATCTCTTGTCATTAAACAGGGTTGGCAATTAGGTGGAAATCCAGTTGATCTTGGAGTTAAATTAGTTAAATCCATATACAATACATGTGAACAGGAGTAAACCAAAAGAGCATCAAGGTATATAAAAAGGGTAACTTAATTATGAATATAAAATAATGCCCAGATATTTAACAAAAATTCTCTGGATCCTTTTCAGGCAGAGAGATCTTGCTTGACCACAACTGCACAGAAAACAGAGTTTGAGCAGCCAAATTGAAGGTGATTCTAGACCCTGTCCAAGGAGCAAATGTCTTGGCTAAGCAACCTCAAACATCATGATCTCCTTGAAAGAAGTTATTTCTCCAGTACATGAGACAATCTTAAGTCTCCTTGAGAGAAATACTTAAGATCAAGCAAGATTTCCTTTGTTTCTGCATCATTCCAGTCTTCCAAAGCCTACTTGGAATTTACCTTGTCTTTCCTTCAACCATTTCACCAGCAATGTAATACTTATGGAATGCAGAATTCTTATTGTTTGCAGAATTCTTCCATGAGCACTAGGAAACACAAAGGCACACAAGACAATACTGTTCAAAACAACTCATGATTCAGTGCCAGAATGAGTGATTCTAGGGTAAGTGATCCATGGYAGTCATGGTAACAGGGATAAAAGTTATAAGTGGGCTTTTCCACCTCAGAACTGACTGATGTGGTGACCAAGGCTGTGTGTCTAACTGCCAACAGTAGAAATCAGTTCTGAATTCATGAGCTGGCATTATTCCCGAAGGGAAATTTCTTCTATTTGCAATACTTAATAGGGGTTCTACATCCCTGACAGCACAGTTACGGGTACAGGTGAATCCTTGTCCTAGCCAAGGCAAAGAAAAACTTGGAGTAGATTGAGATGGTAGTTGATAGATCAGAAAAAAATAGAAAGACTGAATAACAGGATGTCTTTATAAAGTAAAAAACAACATAACATTATTTCTGATGTGCAGCAGTTGCAGGTGGCAATGAGGCAATGGTGCTACTTGATTCATTCAAAGAACTATTGAAATCAAGAATGATAAAGCCAGGATACGAGGTAGACAGAAAGATGGGAACATGCCAGAACACATCTTCTAAAACAGAATGATAACTTTTTTATTAGGGAAATACATCTTAATGGCCAAGTAGGTATAAGTAATCACATAAATTATTTCGCTCTCTTCAAACTGCTAGACAAATGCATAATGAAAGTGTCAGGGATTKCTCTGCCTCCTGTCTCAGGCAATAGCATCAGAGCTGCCAGTGAGTTAATATAAACATGCATATTTGGATTCATAAGCATGCTGGAATCTTAAATTTTTCCTCCAGGGTACACAAAATAAAAACAATAAAAGGTCATAGATTAATATTTACCCTTGGCTATCKGTGCAGCTCTTTTTGAAAATCCTGAGTTATCATCACAAAAGAAAAAGAAATGTCATAAGATTCAGCATTTAATGGTTTGGCAATTGCACAATAATTAGGCTGTACAATTTCAGAATGACATGAAATTATCATTAGTGAATAATGGAACCCAGAAGATTATGACAACCAGAGATAATTTGTACCTGAACATGCTGTTTAGAATGGTTCCATTTCACACTGTATATAAATTAAATTTCCTAACCTTCTCTCTTACTGAAGTCTCTGCAGTGATGGTACAACAGGTATGGAATTTCCCTTCCAAGAAACACAAAATAGCACTAATACTTTAATTTGGTATAAAAGAACAAAATTTGTGGGTATGTTATGCTTTTGAAAACCTGGCATTTACTTATCTTTTAGCTGGATTAGCCTTGGAAGTGTTTTTGTCATATTTACACACTGTGTAACTTAGTTATGTCCACAAAACAGTCCCTCCAGATAGAACTCATTAGAACTGGTATTTTACCCTGGTGTATACTTTGCTATTTCCCTTTATAATTAATGCATTACTGTGGATCCCATTAGCAGTGTTGCATAGGCTCCATCTCTACCTGCTACAGAAAAGCATTGTATTCAGTCACACTCTCTGCACTGTTTTAAGTTTTATTTCCAGCCGATAATGACAGCCCAGAGTCTACTAAATTCAGCAAGTTAAAAATTTTATGTAGGCTAAAAATGGATGGTGGAGCACAAGTCCATACTTCATGGTGGAAAATTTATCTCCCCAAACATCTTCTCACTTAACTGTAGGCAACTCCTTGAAGTCCTGATTTGTAAGGTTGAATTTTAAATTTAACTTTTAAAAGATGTTTTTGACCAAGATCAACGAATATTTAATTATAAAATGCCCTTAGTTGTGCACCATGATCTGTTCTCTGTTCTGTATTTCAGCTTGTCTGATTTTTTGACTTAGATTGCTTTTTCATTTGTGCTATTACAGCTACCTCAGGGGACACCAGACAAATCCATCTGATAGCTGCAGTCGCCAGGTAGGAAGATAAAAATAATAAAGGACAACGGAACAGAAGCATTATTACTAGTTGCTGACCAAGGGTACAAGAAAGCAAAAAGCCACACAAATGTAGAAGGGTTTAGAGAATGATTTATTTTTCCAAAATAAAAATAGCTTTATTCTTTTCTGAAAATAAAAGTGATACATGCTCATTATCAAATTTTCAAAGACATGAAAGTCGAAAGAAAGTAAAGATCTCCCAAATACCACAGCCCAGAGTAAAAACATCATTAACATTTGGCAAAGAGCTCTCTGAGAAACATATATCACTTAAAAATGTCCAATGTTACAAATGGCTCCTAGTAAACATGCTAGTCTATAGTCCGCTTCTTCACACAACAATATTTCAGGGACACATTTCCATAGCAATAAAAATAGATCTAAATAATTTTTAATAGCAGTCATATGCAATTTAATTTTATACATGTTTTATTTGACCCATCTTCTACTGGGGATATTTAGGTTATTTCCAATGTTTTAATTTCATAGACATCATGCAATACATCTTTGGGCTCATGGTTAGACACTTGTGTGATTTTTATCAATTAAGATAAACTCTTAAACAAACTGTTGGGTAAAATTGTGTCATCACTGAAATTTTTTGCTGCATATTGCCAAATTGCTTCCTAGAAAGGTTGAACCAATTTTCATCCCTGCAGGCAGTGAACAAGGAGGCCCATTTGCATGTATTCTTGTCAAYAGCTTTAACCTTTGCCAATCTGGGAGGACAAATTTAAGAAGAGGAAGAAGAAAATAAAAGTCACACATATATTTATTACTTTTATTTATTTGCAAATTGGAGATACTTTTAATTTTTGTTATCTACTTCAGGRCAGATGTTTTCTGAACTTGGTTAAAAGAATTTCAGTTTGTATTCCCATGCCACCAACAGTGATGTGACTCAGGACAAGAGTCAACTTTTCTCTGGCTCATTTTTCTTGATCCCAAAGTAACAGAATCCAGCTCAATAAGTTGTCCAAAGCTTCAATGATATGTGAATAAACCGGCATACTACTAGACATGAYGATGTTAACTGAGCCTTATCTCTTGCATATCAGATTTTTCTACTTTCTTACCTCCTATTTTAATTAATGTTGGTGTCTGGGAATATTTTTAAATTAAGGAGAAAAAAAAAAAGAAAGAAAGAAAGGAACTATGACTTTTCTCTTGTTATTTAAAGAGGTGACCTTAAAATTCTCCAACAAGGTCAGTGACAGCCATAACAAGGTTTGTAAGTTTGACAGGCAATATAGATCTTTGGCATAAAAATGCCTCCCAGGAAAATACTTGCAAGTCAAGGCCATGGACCGTCAAATATAAATAAACAACTGGAACAAAAAGACAGGCACAAAACACAACAACCCCCTTTGTTCCCTGCCAAAAATATTGTTTTATCATTGCTTAGAAATGGGTTTGGAAATATTTTCCACTATAGAGCAAGTTGTTGTTAACATATATAATATCTATTTTCAAAGATAAATCAGATATTAGTATTGGAAATTCATGAATTTTATCTAAGAGTGGTGAAATGATAATATTCTGGATATTAGAAAGACAAACTTTGGGTACAATCTGGACAGCGGTCTCGACACAGTAGATACCAATGAGTTTGAGGAAGTTTTGAAGAACTATTTGATTCATTCATTTTACAGATACTTATTGAGCCACATTACATGCCAGGTGCTGTGCTACCCAAGGGGGATCCAAAAATGAGCAGGACATAGCCTCTGCCCTCAGGGAACTTCAGTTTGGGGCAGGAGGAAAGATAACCCAATAGGCAATTCCAGCATTGTGTGAGGTGAGGTGAGGTTTGGGGGGTGTTTTAGACTCCTGGAAAGAAGCATGCTGAAGAGGCCACTGGTAGCTAAATAATGCCCTGAAGAAACCAAGAGTTAACAAAATAATATGGGCTATCATGATCACCACAAAGCATGTCACAGACTGCTTAGTGCACACTAATAGAGAACCGACAGGCCACCCAGCATTACAAGAATGCAACAGGACAAGAAAAGTTCCCAACCCCTTAGGAAGAGCTTATAGAGGGACCTAAGACTGGAGAACATGCGTTCACTCAAATGTAAGTTCTACGAGGACAGAGTTCCTGGTGGTTTTGACTTTCACTGCTACTACAACAGTGCCTGACACAAAGGATGCCACTGATAAATAAATTTATAAATAAATAAATTTATTCAATGCATCAACGAATTCACTTAATTCATATCAACTCACAGCAGAGGCCACGTGTACAGCAGAGGACCAGGATAGTGAAGAAAGTAGATGTAATAACAAGGTTTGTGTGCCTACTAAAAAACTTGTGGAATCAACAAATGATTTTTCATACCCATCCCTTTGAATCTGATCTTGAACCTGCACTGGCTCCTTTGTGCAATGCAGAGTGCAAGAAAGAGCACTACATTTGAAGTCAGACAGATCCTGCCTCCTCCTCCAAATCTGGGAGGACCTTCAGCAAGTTCTTCAACTTCCCCAAGCTAGCTTCCTTGCCTGTGGGTGGGATTCACACCTTCCTGTGGCTGTGAGGGTCAAACATGCAAAACATGCTCCAGGCCAGATCCCTTCACCCTGCCCCATCCTTCCAGCCCCAGAGATGGGCTGTGCAGATATCTAGGAGGGCTGGGGGCCCCTGTTCCTGGGGTGCTTCTTCAGTGACCCTTTCTTAGTCCTTCCCCTCTTTTCAGGAAACTATTCCAAGAAGCCTTCTTCATTCCCTTGAAAGTACACAGTAATCTATTCTTCATCTCCCCTTTCAGCTTTAGCTTTGAGTTCMATTGATGTATGTTTCCAATAACACTGGTCACTGAGCAGGTAACTTGGGTAGCTGTCCTTCATTTCCTTACTAAATTGTTTGTTGTAACCTAAGCAGCTAACACAGTACCTTGATTCTAATGAATGCTTAGTAAATGCTACTCATGATAAACCTCACTTCCTATTCTCATTGGGCCACAAGTCTTAAAAGTTGTCTGACACAGCTGATGTACAACCTCATAAAACTACACTATTATGCAGCRAATCACAGATCATTATGACTCTCGGGAAGTCGATAAAATTGATTATGTCAGAAATCCCATACCCATTTTCAAAACAACAGAATATTTGCTCCATCTTTTGGGGCATTATAAAATGGGACCAAAACCCTAAGAAGCATAGTAAATAGGATCTGCCCAGAAGATTGTCCACAGTATGTTACCAGAATGAGGATAAGTAAAATTCTTTACTGAAATTCATCTTTGCTGCTCAGAACTTGGAGGCTCATTCTTAGTGTCTTCATGTAACTTAGTCTGCACATAAGTAAACCATGGAGGTATCCTCTGATGACCCATAGCAAGATGCAAGATTTAATTACTATCAATTAACATTCATTAATTCTTCCCCCTAGAAGGCAAATCTAGTCAGGAAGACTGAACCATTCAATAGGAGACTTAGGTACTTTTCGACCACAGTTGCATCTGCTCGTCAGATCATTAATCAGATCACTGCCAGATAATCTGACTTGGTCTTCAAGATGTGCAAAATAATCACACTTTTGAAAGTTAATCTAGTCAATAAAATCACTGGTCCACCATATTTCTAGCCTCTACTCTAAGCTAGCCAACATCCTAGGTAATATGTGAATATAAAAAAAAAAGAATTTTTTTCTCATGAAACATAAAACTAAGATCCACAGTTAGAATATGCCAATGTATAATAATTGGAGAAAAGTTTAATGCAGTGATTTCCAAGGAGCAGAATTCCTATCAGCAGGATCAATGTCTCCTGGGAAGCTGTTAGAGTGCAAACTCCTAACCCCAGACAAAATGTCTTAGAAGATGGTGAGGGCATGGCTTTATCAAGACTTCTATGTCATTCTGATGCACACTGAAGTTTGAGAAACCCTGCTTCAGTCAACTAAACAAGTTCAAGTCAATACAATGCCTACAGATTAAGTGAATGCTGACTAATTGTACAATCCTGGTGTTAATCAGAGCTTTTTTATGACATTTCACAAAAGATACAGGGGGTGTCTGCAGATTCAAAGTAAAAAAATTAACATATCAATTATTGATTTTGGATTATTAATGGCAATTTTACATGATTCCAGGCTAATTTTTTTTCTCTATTTTTTTTTTTTTTTTTGGTGTATGTGGTACTAGGGATTGAACCCAGGGTGTTGTGCATGCAAGGCAAGCACTCTACCAACTGCAGGCTAACTTTCTCAGTTTTGTCAATAAACTTTCAAACTACATCTCTGAGATGGATTACATTGCCTCAGAATGGTTTGCAACATGTGAGCCAAATGCTGAAGACTCATTAACATGTATAATCAAGAGTGGCCAAACTCAAACAAGGCAAAAGAATTAAAGTTTTTAGTCGACATGTGGGCAGTTCCAAAGCAGTATGAACACATATGTGCTGATTACATGAGAAGACAGCACCTGCAGACCAGGTGTCCTACAGCCTGTGAACGTTGATGCTCCTGACCGCTTACCTGGGGCTTGCATTAGACCTGTCAGTCAGGCTAAGTTCTACTGTATTTTTTAACCTCAGTTCATGCCCTTTTAGAGAATTTTAACTCCATGTTTTTGACCTTAGTCTATTTGCCTGACCCTGTTCCTGATGATTTTCTTCTGTGATTAGCTGTTCTTGAACTCGGGTTCCAATCTGAGTATGATTAACCCAACTGCACTGTCTCTCCAAAGAGTAAAATTCACAGTTCCATTCCTAACACAGAAAGCTAGAGCTTTTACAGCAAGGTTCTTGGATGGGGAGATTCTGTAAATCCTCTGGAAAAGGTTTTCTTTGAATGTTTCTATCCGTTATTCATTATCCCTACTTCATTAATTTACTCATAAAGGTTAATTATAGTTGAATTATTTATTATGTGAGTTCATATATATATATAGTTTGATTCAACTTAATTTATAAGAATATACCCGCTCTGAGGAGGCTGATGCTAAGTTCTGAGGAGGTCACCCTTACACACTCAGGGAGTGTGATAGGGCAATGCCCCCACAGAGACGTCCATGTCCTAATCCTAGTGATCTGTGAATATGTTGTTTTACGTRAGGAAGAGGATTTGTGGATGCAATTAATTTAAGAATCTTGAGACAAGGAAATTTCCCTGGATTATCTGAGTAGGCCCAATGCAATAACAGGGTTTTTATAAGAGAGAGGCAGAAGGGCCAGAGCAAGAGAAAGGTAATAAAGAAGAATTAAGAAAGAGAGAGAGCATGAGGGGAAGTGATGGGGTGGGGAGAAAGASAGGTTTGAAGATGCTACATTGGTGACCTAGAAGATGGAGAAAAAGACCATGAGCCAAGGAATGCAGGTGGCCTCAAAAAGCTAGAAGAGGCAACAGGCTCCCCTAGAGGTGCCAGAAGGTTTGCCAAGGACTTCTGAMCTGCAGAACTGTAAAATAATTAATGCTACTCAATTTGTGATATCCTGTTACAGTGACCACAGAAAACAAAGGGAGCTAGCAATCTAGGAACAGAGATAAGATTGATTTTGATACATCTTGGAACGTGACAAGCATAAAAGAGAAATTCAAAGAAATTGCTATGGAAATGCTGGTAAAGTGAGTCCCTCGGTTGGAGAGATTTGGGAGGTTTTTTGGAGGATGACAGTTTTGCAGAGCCTGATAACTGGCTAGGACATCAAAAGAGGAGCTCCAGGAAACGGCAAGAGGGGAGACACAGGGTGGAAGGCACAAATAGTATCAATCAAAAGCTGACCTACACTGCCGACCAGTCATTTTCTGGAACAAAAATTATTTGATTAAAATATCACATATTCTGCTCAAGATATGACAGGTCTCTGAGTTAGTAAAAATCTATAAGAACAATCAACAATTAGATTATATAGAATAGGCTACCTTAAGAGTTTAAATATAGAAATATAGATCTTGGGCAGGAATCTTGCTACACAGAGCACACCCTGGCCAACGGTGAGCTTGGTTTGTTTTTAGACAGTGATGAACAGAAAAACACTACAGTTGATCACAAAGTACGTGGACAAATTAGACATTTCCTGCTACCCTCCTAAGTAAGCTAAACCAAACAACAGAATGCAACTGAAAGTCCTTTGCAGGGGGAGGTTCCCCAGACTCACTTCGACAGAGAAGACATGAGAATCTTGTCCCTCTTTGGTAAGTTTGATTTGTTTTGTTTTGCTGAAGTCAGACCAAGGATGCTGAATAATTTTGAATGGCTCTAATTTAGTTTGGGTTTGGTCATGAGGTAATTACTCTGAGAAAACATTTGTTTAAGCCTCTCTGTTTKGGGGGTTTGAGAAGGAAGGAATAGAATTGTCCAGAATGTTTATCTGTATTACTCCAAATTCACCACCAGCCATTCTCTGGGCCTAACTTAAGGAGATGATGTCTTCCCAAGGCGGTACCTTTGCTCAAGTGTCTCAGAAATACTTGCTTTTTTCTTTACCTTCTGGTGAACTTTAATCCTTTTTGTATGGTTCATATTTATTACAGAAAAATTCAGAGGAGCACCCTGGCTCCACTAGCCTGCTGCTGGAAGGATGGCCTGGGTCTTCTAAAAAGGAGTCCAAATTCACCTCGGTGGCCTTGAAGCCCTGGGATGAAGCTGCATGCTTTGGAGACAGACTTTCTTCACAAGAACTGGGCATGTTGTAAGCATCCTCATTTCTCTCACTGCCTCTCTTTCTGTCCAAGCCCAGAAATGTGACCTCAGACTGGCTGCATTCAAAGGGAATTTTCTGAGTCAGTCCATCTGTCCTCAAACCTTTATCACAAGGTGGCAAATGATTATTCTGGCTTTCGTCATCTTCCACTGGGATACTTGGTACGTTATTCAAGAATAGAGGAGAAGGACACCTGAAGGATTTCAGGGATGTGGGAGGATCTTCTGTAAAATATAAGCTGGCTTGCGAACTTTCAAGAACATTCAGGACCTAATTAATGAAGAACAAACGAACATTGAGTTAGGCTTGAAAAATATCCCTTCTTGCCTTTTTTTCAATTATAGAATATTTTCTCRTTTTCATAAGTTTAATTACTGAATTTGCATTAGAAGGGATCTTAAAGATTAGAGAAACCCCTTCATCTTCATTCTCAAGAAGCAAGATATAAAAGAAACTGCATTGAATTAAACATCATGAGACCCAACTTTAGTTCTAGATTTCCAACAGCTAGCTTTGTGGCCTTGGGTGAGTCTTTACATGTCTGACTTCAAACATAAGGGAGGTAATCCATTAGTAGTTCTCAAATGCCAAAATGCCCACAGAACTTTCTGAAAACAGATCCCCTCACCCCCTAGCTCCAATCTACAGATTATCATTCAAAAAAATAAGGAGACCAGGGTCCATGGATGTGCATTATAAAAGCTTCCTAGATGATCTGAATGTGTAGGAAGATTTGAGACCCTTGACCTAATATAAATCTCTCTCTTCCTCTGTCTTTCTCTCTTTAAAAATGCATATAGGTTTACAATTAGTAAAGTCTTTTCACATATATTTTCTCATTTAACACACTCAAATAATAATATAATAATGCTGTTTATTAACAAATAATAAAATGCTCATTCTGAGTTTATAGATAATAAAGCTGAAACTCAGTAAAATGAATAAATATCACCAGCAAGTAAGGAGGAGCCTTCTCCTGGCTCTCAATTCCATTCCAAAGCCATAGTTCATAGCTCCTTTCTGGGCCCAGGTCCCCACACAGCTCTTCCTAGTGGTGTCAGCCTGGAATATGCTCTCCTGATTCCCACTCCATTTTTATTATGTTGAGTCCTTGTTTAAAACCTGTCCTTGGCTCTACAATGACTTGGAATAAAACCCAAACTCTCAAAATGGAATCCATGTCCCTCCATTACCCAGAAGTCTCTGACATTTTAAGTACTGTGGGCTTCCCTCACCCCCACCTCACATCCATGATGCTGGCCTACCTGTGGTCTTAATGCCGGCCTCCACCACCTGGAGCCCACACTGGCTGACCCTCTCTGCAATGTCCTTCCATCCTTACTGCTGTCTCCATCCAACCTGCTGTCCACATCATAGCTAAACGGTCACCTCCACCAAGAGGCTCCCTTGATTACCATAGGCTAGTGTATTCTGACTCTACAATCTCATCAGCCTGGGCTTCCATCTTGCTGGACCAATATCCCAAGTTACTCATCTGACTCCTTATTTGGAGTTTGAGGGTTGACACTGTATAGTGAACACTGTTGTATCTTTAGCACCAAATACAAAGTCTGCATATAGAAAGCGAGATTAAGTAAGTGTTTGTTTACACGCAAATAAACAAATCAGTGAATGCATGACTACACCTATGGACAAAAGAGTGAATTTTAAAATGAAAAGGGGAAATATATGTTGCATTTTAATGGGCCAGATATCTAAGCTACATTTCACTATATTTTTTTGTGATGCTCTGGTTTTACTCAATAATGACCTCTACCAGAGTACCAAATCATATAACTTTTGATCTAGAAAGGAATATCTATTAGGCTGGCATTTTCTGTTGAAAGCTTAATTTGTCTTACTGATAAATAATTCATCCAGATACACCACTTATATCCAACATAGATATTGCATGGCTCCATTTTGAATAAAACCACATAAATACGCACTTCATCCATAGATGGTCTTGACTTTGCCCGAGTTGTGGCACACTGGGCTGCCAAAGAGAAGAGCTTGGCAGAGAAGTTCCGAGGACAGGGACGTACTTTCTTATCTAGAAATGAGAGGCATGAATCGAGGCCTCTCTTCTCTATCAGTTCCATAAGGAGATCCCGCTAGGAAGAGGAGGAGAAAATCTTATTACATACAAGTGGGTCAAAAAATGAGAAAATGAGTGTCAACAAAAAGACAGTTCTTACCAGTTGAACATGTTTGGGATCATCTAACACCACTTTACAGCCTGTCAAAACTTCCATTATTACCTATGAGAAACATATAGAAAGTCAGCTACATATGCTGAATGCATAGACAACATTTGTTGCACCTATTAACCATGACAATGAATATAGTTCTTTCTAATCAATGCCTTTATATTTTATTACTTCATTGATGACACAAATTGATATATTAGATAATGAGTGGCAGAAATCAATAAGTCAAAAAGTTAAAACTTTATTATAAAGTTTCTTCTTAGAGGAACCATTAGGGAAGGGGATGGGGACAGGAGCAGGGAATAGAGAGGATAAGAGAGGGTTGTAGGAAGGATGGATACAATTCAAACATGACCTATGCATATATGGAAATGTCACAGTGAAACCCATTAATATGTATAACTAATACGAGCTAACATTTAAAATAATAATTAATTAAAATTTCTCTTTAGAATTTAGAACATTCTTGGCAATAAACTCTCCCCTGCTTATTAGCCAGCAGTGTACACTTACAATTCCAAAGCTGTAGGTGTCTGTTTTGACGGAAAGCTTTCCTTGTCTGATATACTCTTCTGGCATGTACCACAGATGTTTCCTGCTGCTGTTGGTCACATTTATGGTAGAAATCTGATTCTCTGGGTGGGGTCGGAAGTGTGCCATGGCAAAATCAGTTAGTTTGGCTTGAAACTGATCATCCAAAAGTATGTTTGTGCTAAAATGGTGCCGAAGGACAGACAAGACAAAACATTATGAAGGCTTTTCAATCAAATTCAACATGGAGAGCTCACCTTCTGTCTGGTCAATTCAGAGACAGATACATAAAGCCAAACATAAATTTTCATGAACTAGACAACACTATTTAAAAAATTTTTTTTCAAAGCATAATCTATGTGTTGAATAAAAACAAAAGCAAGAACCTGACCTCTGAACAGTGGGTATTTCAAATATAAAGAGATGGTGGGTAAAGCCGAGGTTTTGTGGATAGAATAAACTAAAGTTAATCAAAGCAGCTTTTCTTGTGCTCTTCTTACACTTAATGAGAATGTGAGTTGAATTAAAACCAGCTGATTAAAATCAGCAATAATTAAGTGTCTGCTGTGTGTGTAAAGCTGTGCTGTGTAGGGCTCAGTCTTTCAGCAAGAGCCACAACCCTAGAACAATTGGAGGGATAGTTGGTAGCTCCTGCTTGAATGACAGTCCTACCCCTGAGTCACATCTCTATTGCTGTTTTTGTTTTTGAGTCTTATTTAAATACAAATATCTGTGGAAGTAAAGGTGAAGTGCTTACATTCAATTTAAGCAGTTGTCTCATAAAATCCTTAATAAGCTTTGTTATGTTGGCTCAAAGTATCAGTTTACTTTTTTCTTTGAAATGCTGCTATGATGGGGGTGGGGAAGAATAAGCCAAGAAGGTTGTGCACTTCACTTGGGCAAAGCCAGCTCTGCCTTTTTCTGGTTCTGAGATTGTTAGCAGAAACTTCACCCAAAAGCTTCAGTGCCCTCTTTCCTCACATGTGAAGTGGGGAGAATAAAAGAGCTTCTAAGCCTGATATGGGGAATAGAAAGTGCAACTATGCCCAGCCCTAATCAATGAATGGTCACCAGGGTAAAGTTTAGTAATCAATAATGAGAGAGAAGACAGAGATTGATTGATAGAAGGGTGAGTTGGCCATGAGAAAGTCTCCTACTTCTCAGTTTTGCTTAGGAGTATCCAGAGCTGGCTCTTTGTCTCCTGAAACTAAAGCATTTACCCTAGGCCTCCCCGTTCAAAACACCAAGTGACATATTTGTACTACTACAAACTGTTATTAAAAGTGGTCACAGCTACTGAATAATAAGAAAGTCTTAATCCTAAACAAATACTGGAACTTAACAAAAGTTCTAAAGTCTCTGCTGTCCTGAACAAGTAGGCATACAGGCAGAACCCAGTTCCACAGGTTTGAATTTCAGGTCTTATTACTATTCAGAGGATTCAATTATAGGGTGGGTAAGGGGAAGTCCAATGTTTGAAGCTAAGGCCCCAAGAATTCTGACTTTGTCTGGGACTGATATGACAACAGACAAAATGAAGGGACATGCCCCTCCTTTAAAGATAGAGAAAGACATGCTTTAAACTCCATTTTGACTCCTCCCTCCCTATAAGGGTGGCAGGAAGATTGCAAAATCCAAAGAGCCCACCATATGCATGAGCCCTAGGGCCCTTCATCTGTTGTGTGATCTCTGCATTTATGACCAAACCAAGAGGCCTGGTCACCAAGACTTGTATCAATGAACTGGGGTAGACAGATCAATGCACAATTTGCCAGGTGGGCCAGGAGAGAAGGTAAGCAGAAATGTTGACCAACTCTCACTTCCAGGACCCAGGTTTCTGTCCCTCCTGCTGCTCCTAATCCGAGAGCCACTGCTACATACTCTTACTTCATTTCAGCACAGGGGGGAGGATAGAAAAATTCTGAATGCCAGAGGTTCAATGTCTTCCTTCTCCATCCCAGCTGTAAAGAAGGCATGAAATTCTAATTTGTAATTCCAGAACCATGAGAATGCCAAAGTTGCATCTGTGAAATACTTAAAAATCCCTAAATAATTTCTAAGTACAAAAGAAAGGGAGGAAGCCAAGAACAACAAACAAAACCCATAATCTAATGCATTTATTTGACTCTCAACAAAAGATTCCAGCAACTGAGCAATCATACATCTGTGAATGTCAGAGGTGATCTGTGTGACCATGAACAATATGTTACTCAAAAACACCCACTGAGGACCTGGGGTCAGTGAGAGGCCGTCGGTAAGATGTGGAATGATTTGAGGGCACTGCATTTACACAATGAATAGTGACACTTGGAGCAAAGACAAGTAGTTTGCCAGCAGATTTTAGTGTAGAACATAAATTTTGAGTCCAGTGATTTACTCTGTTCTAAATAAAGGTTATCGGTAGCTGGGGAAAGAAGGATATTCTGTCTTAGCAAAGTGGAAATTGCAAAAGGGCCTTCAACGATCAATTTCTACCCTGATTCTTCCCCCTGCTTCAACCTTGGAGAGAATGTTCAAACACAATGTGACTTCAGCTACCATGCAGGTCAGCTGAGTAAGTTTATACCRTGGAGTGAGGATATACTAACAAAACAAAGACAACCTGGAACAACTAAATTCATAAAAATACAAYACAAGAGGATGGCTTGTGAGTTATTGTGGCCACCAAAACAGAGACAAAAAAAAAAAAACAACAACAACAACAACCAATTTTGGTATATATCAAACGGTTCGCACATTCAATTTAGTATTTCTACAATGTATTTTTTTCTACCCTTTGCCATAAAGCTATTTACTATGATCAAAGAGGCCATCATCTCTCTAGACAATTCTTCTAGCRGAAGGACCCTTGGCTTGTACCCTGAGGAAATGGGGAGAACTCTGCACAGGTGGTGAGTTTGTATTCTAATTCTAGGGTTGTTACTCATCTATTAGGAGGGGTCTCTAGGCTAACTCTTTAGGGGGACCTGAATTTCCCCAAACAATGCTACTTTTTAGTGAGAATTGCTTTCTTTGCTCATCAGTTTGTCTCCTAATTTAGTTGAAGCCTTCAAGCTTTAAAAATAAAGCAGATGAGGGCTGGGGTTGTGGCTCAGGGGGAGAGCACTCGCCTAGCAAGTGTGAGGCCCTGGGTTCGATCCTCAGCACCACATAAAAATAAATAAACAAAATAAAGGTATTGTATCCAACTACAACTAAAAAATAAATATTTAAAAAAGTAAAGCAGATGATACATGTGGCTTCTCATGCAAAACTTGCATTTAAGTACAAAAGCCATGTTTGACGTGTAAGAGTTTGACTAATTTTTAAAGATATGTGTGTGTGTATGTGTGTGTGTGTGTGTATGTGTGTGTGTGTGTGTGTGTGTGTCTTAAAGAGAGTTATTGTTGCCAAGTAGCCCAGCCAAGTGTCTGCCAACCCTTAGGAAAAATTCCAACTCCACCCAATTGACCCCTGAGAAAAAGAGGAGTTATTGTTGCCAAGTAGCCCAGCCAAGTGTCTGCCAACCCTTAGGAAAAATTCCAACTCCACCCAATTGACCCCTGAGAAAAAGAGGACCCAGATGGCCTCTATGTAATAGCCTGGGGCAACGGACACCTGTGCCATGTAGTAGCCATTGCAGCACTGAGACAACTTGCCCCAGATGTCCTGCTGACGGCAGATGAGGCAACACCCAGTTTCCCCAGGACCCACAAGTGACTGGAAAGTTGCGTACCGCCCTACCCACAACTCCAGCCTGCAGGGCATTCTCCCTGGAAGAGCACGAAGCTGAAACCTTTTAGTCCCCTGTTGTGGAGCTTTCTCTTCATTCTCCATCCAACCTCGGCAAGTCTTGAAGACAAAACTAAAACTTGTTTGTGCCTTATAAATGACTGGTGACTCCAGGCACTGTGAAAAGGCCAACTTAATAAGAGGTTTTCCTCCTCAAAGTGTGAAACTTCAACTCTAACCTAACTAGCCCAGACTCCCTAAGCCTTGGCTTCCATGGAGGTACAAAGAGCTGGTAATGCTTACTTCACCAGCTTTTATAAGGATTAAATGGGAAAATGTTAAGTGGAGCTCAAAATGTGCTTTATAGCATGTAGATAGACCTTGGTTCATCCTACACCCATTACCTTACCTTAAAATCCCAAGAGACTGGGTTGGGTATCTCTAGGAGTGCAAGTACACTGATATAAGTAACAACAGCACAGATTGCAGGATGGCCTGCAGACTGAGCACCTTTAAGTTAATCATTACAATCAAAATAATTCCAAAGACCTTCTGGGCAAACCTAAAGTAACATTTCTAGCTAATTTAAGATAACAGAGAAGGGGGGAAAAAACTGTGCGTTGTGCATGCACATATATATTTATACATATTAATAAATTAATATTGAGATTTGGATATAGTGGTGGCAAATAGAATTGACAAGGGAAATTTTATTTTATGCAAAATTTAGTTGTTTTGGCATCCCTTAGAGAAAAAAATGGACATATTTGGATATCTTAAAAGAGGAAGGGAGTGGGGGTGTTTATRAAAGTCTGAGGAAACAGAATTGTTTGTATCTAAAATATTTATGAAAAATAAAAATAGTGTGTGTTTTTTTTTAAAGCAGGAAGAGGAAAACAAAGAGACTGGTTCATTAAATGAACAATCAATCAATCAGATTTTGCATTCCCCACAGACTTCACACACCTATTAATTATGGAGCTGGAGCTTAATCTTTCAGTCTATACCACATCAGCCTACAGACACTCACGTCTGAACTGAAGGTAGGAGAAAGAAGAACTTGGGTCCTTAGGCAAGAGTGTCATGGTTGCTGGAAGGGGCCAGTCTATTGCTCCCTACCTCCTCTTYCCAACCACTCAATCTTTGTAGTCCTCACACAGGAAATACTCCAAGATTATTCTCCTTACTTTGGAAACATTAGTAGGAATGGAGATCTGAGATGAAAAATGCTGAGGATAAAATGCATTTCAATTTAAAATTGTTTATAAATGTGAAAACAATTAAGCTTGCTGAGGAATAGGATGGAAATAACAAGGAGGTTGACTGCTTTCAGATGCTCTTATGTGTTCTTGCAATTCAAAAACATCTTCGTTTCCTAAATAAAAATGTGAGGGTCTTTTGCCAAGAATACAGACTGCAACTCTTCAAACCRCTTTTCTTTAAATTCTTTTCTCCGTAAATTCCACCATC